ACACAACACACACACACACACACACACACACATACTTTAGTTTAATATCTTTATGCACCCCATACCCATCCTGTGGGCGGTAGTCAAAAGATTACAAAGGTACATAATTCTTCTGATTGTTAATTGGCCCGGTGGCCTGGTGGCTAAAGCTCCCGCTTCACACACGGAGGGCCCGGGTTCGATTCCCGGCGGGTGGGAACATTTCGACACGTTTCCTTACACGTGTTGTCCTGTTCACCTAGCAGCAAATAGGTACTTGGATGTTAGTCGACTGGTGTGGGTCGCATCCTGGGGGACAAGATTAAGGACCCCAATGGAAATAAGTTAGACAGTCCTCGATGACGCACTGACTTTCTTGGGTTATCCTGGGTGGCTAACCCTCCGGGGTTAAAAATCCGAACGAAATCTTATCTTATCTTATCTTGAGGGTTTAGCACTTATTATTCATTGAAATAATAATATTGGTAGCCCAATAAGATGTAACTTACAGTAACCCTTTACAATCATCACACCACAAACCAAGAAACAGGTAGGCAGACTAAACCTAGTATTTAAAGCGCCAAACATTATATTGAAAGATCCAAACAGCTAATCAACTTGTGTTATTCAACGGTTGTGGTGATCACAATGGAAATAAATCAGTCTGACTTTTGTTATCCTGGTTGGAAATTTAAATAAATAAATATGTATGATAATTTGTGTAACCCATGACTGGGGTTAGTAAGCATGATTAACCCACCTACCATAACCCAATAAGGTCAATGCAGCATCAGGGACTCATGATTGTGACCAGATCTACCTGGAGTTCATTACCTTTGTAACTAGTTCAGCTATCATAATTTTGGGGTCCAGTCCCTGGACCCATTATGTACCTCTGTATTCTTTTGACTCCCGCCCACAGGATGGGTATGGGGTACATAATAAAGATATTAAACTAACTAACTAACGGACTCACTCACTGTCTGTCTCTGTGTCTCTGTATGTCTGTGTCTGTATGTCTGCTTTGTCATATTTCCATTGGCATCGGTCCTTTAATATTCTTTCCCAGAATGTTACCCACAACACTCCACTAACACCTAGGTACCTACTTACTGCTAGTTAAACAGGGGTAGGTAGGCAGCAGACAAAACAGTATATGAGCTAGGTCTCCAGGTTCCTTCTTACTGCTAGCTCAACAGGGGCAGGCAGAAAGCAGGACACTCAGTATATAAGTGTACTATCAACCCAGCCACAACAACTCTTGCACAAGCGATATTTTTCCAAGGAGCTACATTAACTCACTACTTCCATCCATTATACATAATTCCCATTTAGAACACACTCTTAAAACTTTATCACCGTCTCATAATTATATTCTCAAAAAATATAGCCCATGATGTTATAATCCAAGGAATTAGAGATGACCTGCCTTCCTTCCTAAACCAAACGTATGTTCTTGGATAACTTGTGCTTACATTGGATTAGATTTTGCCACCGAAGTGGCTAGGTTATTGTGCACCCCATATCCGTCATGTGGACGGTAGTGCAAGAGCACATGGATACACAAAAGACATAGGAACTAGGTCCCAAAAGGGTTAACAGGAGTACATATGGATTTATATCTACATATCTAAAGTTCACTTGTCTGTTACAAGCAAATTTAGGAAATTTAGGAAATTTGCTTAGTATATCTGGTATCATATTTTCATTAATAAGATATCTTGATATGTCACATAGGTTATTATACTGTCTATCTCTGTATTCCTCAATAAGTGGACAATTAAGCACATAGTGTTCAAGACATTGACCATATGCCTGATCACATAATTTGCATTTAGTTTGATCATCATCTGTCTCTCTCCCAAATTGGCAGAAGTACTTGTAACCAAGCCTAAGCCTGGCCACTACAACATCAGTCAGTCTGTTCACATTGCAAGTTGCTCCATAAACATACTTGTCTATGTTTATGTTATCATAGTTTGTTATAGATCTACTCAGGCTTCTAACTGCATTCCTATAACACTCATTTTCATTATTTACTTCTCTCCTAATATTATTCCTAATGCTAGACACAGATATACCAAAGTTATATTCTACATTCTCCTTCTTGGTACTCTTCTTGGCTAACATATCAACTTTATCATGAAGGAGTAATCCAATGTGTGATGGGATCCATAGCAATTGTACATTAATTCCTTTGTCCCTGATTTTTGAGTACACTAAAAACCCAGCATAATTGCTCTTGGGCATTTAAAAAATTAGTCACTTTGCTCAGCACTTAGTGGCTGCCCATAACTATGGGTTTAGCACTTAACAATTATTATAATGGGAATATTACACTAGCACATTTGTGTTTCGAAGGTTTAATTTTTCACTTATGTCATTTCTTTGACGTATGAAAAACAAGGATACTATATGTTATAATGAAAATTAATGACAAAATGTATGACATAATATTACTACCATATTCATGGCTTGGTTGGCAATGCACACACTCAAGAGTCCATGGTCCATGGGTGCAAATGATGGGCATCTTTCTTTATACATGCTGCCCCTCTTAACCTGGGTTATAATTGACTGGTGTGGGTCACATCCTAGGAGACAGCATTCAAGGGCCACAATGCAAATAACACAAACAGTCCTCAATGATGCACTGACTTTCTTGGCTTATCCTGGGTGGTTAACCCTCCGGCTTAAAAATTCAACCAAATCTTATTTTATCTTAAAGTAGTCCATGGCTTGGTATGCAAAGCACTTATCTAACACATTCATTGTCCATTGTTGAATCCTCATCCAGCATGGGTCAAAATATTGGCAAAGTTTCCTTACACCTGCTCTCCCTCTTCACCTATCAGTAAGTAGGTACCTGGGTATTACTCCACTGGTAGCGGTTGCATTCTGGGGGTAAAATATTCAAGAACCACAATGCAAATAACATGCACAGGGCCAGGAGCAACCACAAATAGGTTAATACAAATATAGTACGAGATTTCAAGTGTAAGGCTGTGCTACTTTGTAGAACACAGAATCCATATACTTTACCTTTTAAAGACAAAAACTATGCTAATTATTTGCCAATCTAATAAGACACCATGACTCAAGCCATGCTTGTTCATGGATTCAAGCATTATTTTATTTCATTGGTGAAAATGTAATTGGCTAACTGCAAAGATTGTGGGATTCAAACTTCTCCTCATGTTTGATAATTCTTGTACTGTATTTATCCTCCCAACAGTCTTAGTCTGTAGACCAAAATATACAGGCTCTCTCTACCACCAGGTACAACATCTTGGATACAGCCACTGGATCACCCAAAAAATTATACATCCACATCAACAATAGCTGTACACCACCCATTCATTTCAGGCCAGTTGGAACACATCACTCTCCTTAGTCACTTCCATTTCAACATTCAACAGTGTCTTCACCGTAAGATAAAATAAATTACAGCGGAACCTTGGTTGTCGAATTTAATTCATTCCAAATGTCAATTCGGCAACCAAAATGGACAACAACCAAAGCAGTTTTTCCCATAAAGAATAATGTAAATAGAATTAATCACTTCCAGACCCCAAATGGCCGATATGGTAAACATGAGGAAATTAAAACTTCATCAGAGTATAAAACAAATTCCAGCCACAAACTAGAGCGAAAAACTAACGTCAAAGACCTGGGAGTGATCATGTAGGAGGATCTCACCTTCAAGGACCATAACATTGTATCAATTGCATCTGCTAGAAAAATGACAGGATGGATAATGAGAACCTTCAAAACTAGGGATGCCAAGCCCATGATGACACTCTTTAAGTCGCTTGTTCTATCTAGGCTGGAATATTGCTGCACACTATTAGCACTTTTCAAGGCAGGTGAAATTGCTGACCTAGAAAATGTACGGAGAACCTTCACGGCACACATAAAAGAGATAAAACACCTCAATTACTGGGAGCGCTTGAAGTTCCTGAACCTGTACTCCCTGGAATGCAGGCGGGAGAGATGACTATATACACCTGGAAAATCCTAGAGGGACTAGTACCAAACTTGCACACGAAAATCACTCTCGGCAGACAATGCAACATCCCCCCAATGAAAAACAAAGGTGTCACTAGCACATTAAGAGACAACACAGTAAGTGTCAGGGGCCCAAGACTGTTCACCTGCCTCCCAGCATGCATAAGGGGATTACCAGTAGACCCCTGGCTGTCTTCAAGCAGGCACTGGACACACACCTAAAGTCAGTACCTGACCAGCCGGGCTGTGGCTTGTACGCTGGATTGCGTGCAGCCAGCAGTAACAACCTGGTTGATCAGGCCCTGATCCACCATGAGGCCTGGTTACAGACCAGTCTGCGGGGATGTTGACCCCTGGAACTCTCTCCAGATAAACTCCAGGTAAATACTATGTATAATAATAATATATCTTTATTTTTACAAGTACATGCACAGGGTATATACGCCTAGCTGACATCAATGACATACTACTCTTTAGAAAGCCACTTGTTATGCTGAGCATTTTGGGCAAATTAGGTCAGTTTTGTCCCAGGATGCAACCCACACCAGTCGACTAACGCCCAGGAACCCATTTTATACTGATGGGTGAACATGAAAGGCAGGTGTCTTATGGAGACACTTCCATAATGTTTTCCAGCCGTACCGGGGATTTGAACTCTGGACCCCTGTGTGAGCTGTGTGCATTAGCGATATCACCTCCTCGGTTATGTGTACCTCATCCAGCACTTGTTGGTGTACCTCCCTGTTCTGAATTCCTGGAGTCCTATGTGTTTCCACTGTAAATACTTCTTTAAATCTCATGATGAGCTTCTCACATACCTCTTGGTCATTTCTTGTGAACTCCTCACCATCCTTCCTCAGCCTGATTACCTGGTCCTTGATCAGGTGTGTGTGCATGCACGAACACACACACACACACACACACACACACACGGTGTCAGAGTGGGAGCATGTGTCAAGTGGGGTTGTCAGCATAGTTGCTGATTCCCTACATATGTTGTATAGCTTATCTGAGTATCATAGTTAGTACCATCGATATGTTTTACATAGATGACCCCTTGCTAGACTTAGCGGCTAGCATGTGTGACGTCACGTGATGCCGCATGCGAGCGTCAGATGCACTGTCCCTTTCTCAGTCCACGGATAGACCTACACAGGCAACAAGGCAGGCTGGGCTCCCCTCTCACACTCTGCTAATATAAGTGTTACAGCCCAACAAGTGTGTTTATCTCCAACCATCATATCTCCATGGAACCCTGCTCATCTGAGTATCATAGTTAGTACCATCCACATGCTTTACGTAGGCAACCCCTTGCTAGACTTAGTGGCTAGCATGTGTGACGTCACGTGATGCCACATGTGAGCGTCAGTGGCGCTGTCCCTTTCTCAGTCCACGGATAGACCTACACAGGCAACAAGGCAGGCTGGGCTCCCCTCTCACACTCTGCTAATACAAGTGTTACAGCCCAACAAGTGTGTTTATCTCCGACCATCATATGTCCACGAAACCCTCTCAACAGGGTTTCACAAGGTTCAGTCCTAG